GACTCACAACCCAGATGTTGTCTGTATTGCTGCTTTCCCCAGAGCTGCCGCCCTTCTGCGTGGACCCCACCCACAGTCCCTTCTCCCCCTGTCCACTGGGGCCCTTGCTTTTACTTGTGTGTGCCTTTGAACACACAGGTGACATCTGAAGACAAAGGAGACCCAGCTCTTCCTTTCTCCCCTCCCCCATGATTGCACTGACTGCTGTCACCCCACCTCGCTGGTCTCTGAATGCCCAAGTGGCCTTTGTGCACCGTGGTGAGGCTCCTGGTCATTTCAAATGTTTACACTAAAAGAAGTGGTCATAACTGTCACCTTGGATTGGCTGGGTCTCCAGTGGTCCACGAAGGAGTAGGGTTCACAGGAGAGAAGCTGGGAAATGTCTCCTGCCCCAGTCTAGGGTCAAAGGGTACCAATAGGGCCACCAAGTGTCACAGATTCATCCCCAGGCCCATCTCACAACCCCTGTCCTGGTGACCAACGGACCCCTCGGGCTCCTCGGAGGCCTAAGAAGGCCGAGCAAGGCTGTTTCTCTTCGTTGCTCTGGGAAGCGTGTGGGGTAGGAAGTCCCGGGACCCCTTCGGCCTGGCTGCCCTGGGGGTCCCTCCTGGGCCATCTGAAGTCACTGTGGTGCCTGTGACCTGTCTCGGGCTGTGTGATGCTGCAATGGAAGAATCTGGCTAAGAATAGGCCCCAGATGCACAGATGAGGCAGTAGAGGTCAGCGTCACGAAAATGACCCTAATACAACCAAAGCAGAAGGAAGCCAGGAAGTATGGAGAATGGGTAATTAATCAAAAACACACGACGCATGGTGTCTCCTGAGGACAGCCTCGTAGCTCTTCAGACAGTCTTGGTCGCCTGGGCATCCGGACCTGCAGACTGGCACATGGATTCCTCAGCGCGTGCACCTGTTAAGGAGCAGGGACAGGTGCTAGGAAGGCTCCTCTGGGGTCTGGCGACCTGGGCATGCCTTGGGACCCGAGACGGGCTAGATCTCAGGACCTGGCCTCGCAGGCCAGGAGACGGCTAGCTTTGCTCTCTAGGCAGGCTGAGCCCTTTCTCGCCTCGCTGGGAGAGGTGGGGCATCGCCAGCCCAAGGAGGATCCAAGTTTAGCCAGGTCTACTGGGCCAGTCCTATGTCCCAGACCAACCAGGCCACCCTCGGGCTACTGACCGGTCCCCACTCTACCTGTGGCCTGCACCCCGCCACAGGCCAAGGCCATGGCCAGTTACCCACCCTCTCTCCAACCCCCACTCTAACCCATAACCTTGGGACGCCCCCAGGTGAACCCCTGACCTCCTTCCCTCCAGGGGCCCGCCCTTCCCTGCCCACCTGTGGCCCTCCTCCACCTTCACTGTCCCAGCCTGGGCCACGCCCCCGACACCCCAGGGACCTGCCCTCTCCCCCGCCCCCCATCTAAGGCCCCGCCCCGCCCCAAGGCTTGCCCCCACCACTTGCAAGAGCCACCGAGGGCCACGCCCCTCGCCATTTACCGGTCCTCTCTCCTCCCAATTTTGGCCCTGCCC